GTTAGAATCGAGCGTATAATTACATTGTTGCAAGCACTGTTCCAGTGATGCAACTTTGTGAAGCAAGCAAGGGACAAGACATTATATCAATCCTCCCATGACAATCCTCTCCTTGCACGCACAAGAATCCTTGCAAATAAACGATCGACTTGAGAAACGTCGTCATCAACTAGTTTCTCATTCCAACAGTGCGACGGTTATGCGTACTAAATTAATTCTACTATTCCCCAAACGAATCGGGTTAGTCATTACCACTGTGCTTGACTGGCCTTGAGAAGAATGGAGGGAGGCAGAGAGTTCGGTTAGTAGCTCTTGCCATCACTGCAGCCGACATGTACTCCATCAGTTGGTTGCCAGCTCCCACCAATGGAGTCAACAGTGGAGAGAAGAATTTCTTGTTTTCATCGAATTCAGATCTAGGAGGTTGGGACTCAGCTGCAGCTAGTAATGGACCATCGCTGAAGCAATTTGAAATGTTCTCTGAAGGGGGAAAATCAGCAAGGTGATTTAAAGGCGGTATTGCGTCGTCGTCGTCTGTGACAAAGATTGCAACATGGCAACAGAATCGATACGGTGTAAAAAAAACCAGAGCCGGGATGGTAACAATAGGGAATTCTTATACTTTTTACATTTTATTGTAGTCCATCAGTCAGGCATGTAAGCAGGGGCGGAGGCGTCCATTTTGCGCAGGGCCTAGAAACTGAAGAAAAGTGCCACGGTTCAAGCTATAAAAAAAAAAAAAAAAAAAAAAAAAAACAGGAAATAAATAGCTTGTGTAGTTGAAGGGCAGATTTGCAATTTTCACAAAAGGGAGGAGTAGTTTTGATATTATCAAGAATACAGGGGTATTCTTGGTATTTCTGCAAATTTCAGGGACATGTAAGATATTTTCCCTTGTTTAAACACACTATTATCATTTTTTTATTATTTCTCAGTAAATATAACTTAATTATTTATCACAATTGTCCACCTTCTTGTTTTTGTTTCATTCAATGTATTTTCAACAGTGCACCTTTTTGTATGAGTAGTGAAAGAGGTAATAAATACAATTTCCAACTAAATGCATGTAAGTGGTCTTTCAAATTTGAAATCTGAATTTCTAACAGCTGTGAATAATTATCAAAGATGAACACGATGAGAAAATTAGAGATGGATGCAGCAACCATGTAGATTTTGACATGATGATACTAACTCCATAATATTTTTATCTATATTTTATTTATAAACCATAATTTTATAATTCATTATATTATATTCTAAAATATCATGCCATTCAACTGTATATATATGTGTATGTATGTATGTATTGTCCAGGATGATGTTTCTGGAAAACGATTTTAATATTTTCAAGGTGATGTTAGAATAATGTGATTAGGTTTGCTCTGAACAACTTTCCTCTCTATCAGATTAACCCTAGTGTTATTTAGATTTTATTTTTTATTTTAATTATTCTTAAATTACATCAATAATATAGTAGTTGCCTTCGTAATAATTGTAAAATTTAGTCTGCCTTAGTTGTCCAAGTAATTTAATTATTGTTACATATATATATATATATATATATATATATATATACTATTCAATTATGTTTTCAATATTTTTCAAAAATTACGTGCTCAAAATTTTATAACTCATAAATTATTTTTTTGAAAATCATCAAAGCACTGAGTTTTTTCGCTTTTTAATATTAAAGAGAGGCATATACCAATAATTTGTCCCCAAGTTTGATATTTATTGAAACAAAAGCAAGTCATAGTAGATGATTAACAGTGGCAAACTTAAATGCGATTAAATGTCACTGAAACTTAATTAAAGATATGATTGTCATCCTCAAGCATGAATAATTTTTAAACCTACTTTTCACTATTACATCCAATTCATTTGAAAACAATGATTAAAATCTAGCCACAAGAGAATAAGTTGTAGGGTATCTTTTCCTTTGTAACAGTTGGGTATATCTATTTAGGCACATTTAGCACAATTGCTCAAAGCCAAAAGTTATCCAAATAAAAAAAGGAATCTAATACATTCGATGGAGTATTTTTGTTGGTGCTTGACCCGGCTCCAAGGGAGTTAAAGCTGACAGGTGTCGGTGATTGGATGGTGATGGATGATGTATTTTTTTCATCCAACGTGTTACGAATTGTTTCCAAGTTTGATATGTATTGAAAAAAAAAGCAAGTAACAATACTGCAGATTTATTCAATATCATTCTGGACAGTGTGCATATATATATATATATATATATTGTATATTCAATCTATCATTTGAATAGAACATGATTAATTATTTATATATTTATTTTTTAAAATCTATAAAAAGAAAAATGCATGCGGGTGGAATGAACAGCTATGGACATGTCTAATATTATTTTGGAATTTTATTTGCAGAAATTTTAGAGCTTATTAGAAGTGTGCATAATTATGTGATAAGTTATATCCAGAAGTATCTTTTTCTAGATGGTACCTATTTTTAGATTGCATGAATTGAAACTCTTTGTAATAACTCATGATATCGTGAACAGTATATAAATTACGCTCATTGAAGTTGGTACTTGTAAAAAAACAAGTTCTATGTTGTTAATATTTTTTTATTCAATTTAAAATGTGCTATACATTATTTTGGATTCATCACACATCATCTTGTGCAGAGAATTACGAAGTGTGTGTACGTATGTATGTGCAAACATGTTAATAAACAAATACACAAAATATGATTTACAAAAATAAAGAATTTTTGTATCAAAATTATTCTAATAAAATCAAAACATTGCTACGCTACAAAACTTCACTTGTAACCCAGTATTTACAGAAAAAAGCGCAAAAAATCAAACTCCCATGGAAACCACAGACTTACAGACCCAAAACAATGTAAGTGAGGTTGTCAAACCTAGAGTTTTTGTTCATTATTCAAATTTTTTACTTTTGCACATTATCATTGCCATTTTCAAAATTGCAAAGCTGGGTGTTAACATTCAAAAGACAAATCTATTCCCGAGATGGAAAAAAGGAAGCTAGAACAGACGGTCATCACTAGACTAATAAGATCTACATTATTTCTTCAAGAACAATTAAGTTAAAAAGACAATGCTTTTGAAAGTTATTACACAGAAACAGTCAAAGCCAAAATTTGACTTCAGTCAACTAGAGGATTTGAGCCAAGAAATTTGAACTTTGACACAACTTTGAGAGGGGGGAGAACTAATTTGCCAAAAACAGATTCCATACACACATACACGCACATATATATGGACATAGAGAGACTTCCTGAATAGTTTGGAGCTGACTGCAGAAACCCTAAACTCAATAAAGAGCAAAAAGACAAATGACCAAACCTTAGGAGAAAAAAGTTTAACGAATTTTCTAACATAAAGCACTTATTCATTCATACATTTCGTCATCCACTCTATTATAGTTAACCCATATTTTAGAGTGGGTCCGGAGACCAGGTCCGAACAGTTGCATAGGGATACATGAAAAATCGTCGGATATAATCCAAGAAGTGGATGGATGATACTGAGATTCGGCGTTCCCTGACTTAAACGGTGTTGTTGCTAGGAATCTAGTGTTGCCACTTTGCGCAGGATCGAGCATCCTCGGAGCCACGCGCATTTCACTGTTTTCTGTAGTTCAAATCGAAATCTATCGAGGTAATGCTGACCTGGACTATGGCCTTGGATTGCGTGGCTTCGAGGACCAATTCCTTGAGGAAAAGCTGACGTAGAAAATCCACATGAAGGCTGGAAACCGGTCAATATTTTTATTTGTTTCATCGGTATGTCCATAAATGGCCCACAACGAACCCGAATTTGTGTACTCAATTGCGATGACTGAGCCCCCGAAGCCTCCTGGCTCCCCGAGATCAGCCAAAAAAGTAGACCCAAGATTTGCGGAGGAGACGAGAACGCCGAGATTGATGATACGGTTCCCATGTTTCTGTCTGTTACAGAATGGAGTTTCTGAGATCTATCGGGTTTGTCGAACGACATCGTGATTCTGTGGGGAGACCGAGTAAAGTGATGGCCATGGAGGCGGAGAATGTTCCCACATAGTAAGTGCTGTTGCTGCTCTTTGAACGATGCCACAGAATGATGGAACAGTAGCCAGCAAGAGCAGCGCGCGGATCGATGCTCTTTTTCATTCCCTGCGTTTTCACGTTGTAATGCTAGTTTCCAAGTTCCCGAGCCCTGGTAATCTTTTTCACGTTTTGGGACCACTCGTGTGCGTCGAACCTTGTGCCTCTATCAATCATTCGAGTTCATGCGAACCCTGCTCTGTATCTGAGCGCACAGTTCCCGCCCACCTGCATCGGAATTGTCTGTGTTCGCCGTTTTTGCTTGTCTGCACTAGTGGTAAGGGTTTTGTGTCTTTCCCAGCGGGAGGAGCTTGGCTTGCATTCAAGTTACCTCTCATTCTTTGAGAAAAGGCAAAGTTCACTAGTGGTTGATATGATCTTTCTTTTCCGTTACGTATCTTTGAACAGTTAATCTCGTGTACTGGATTTGTTTATGTCTGGTGGCCTTGAGTCTATTCTCGGAGGAATTCTTTTGACGTTAGAATTGGGTGGGCTTCGTCAGGGGAGAGGAAGTTTTACTTGACATTGACCTTTGTTAAGGATTTCAGGCCGCTGCTCGTCGCGACCTCTCAGTCGTTGGCACAAGGAGAGTGAAATAGCGGGGCTATCTGGAGAATCTCTTAATCTCTTAGTTGTTATGAAACAATCAGCGACGATAACAGTGCTAATAGGTTCGCAATCATAGGGTGGCTTCTGAAGATGCCTTCTGCCGATTGATTGATTGATTGATTGATTTATTTATTTATATATTTTTTTGTGGTCGTTATCGTGGATATGCTAAGCATAGTGAGGGGCAATTGAGTTGATGATGAGGTTACGTAACAAGGAACGCAGTTGTCAGCTGGGTCACGGGGGTTGTTATTTGCTTTCCAACGTGTATTGCGAGTTGAAGTCGACGGAGATGTGTTACCATTAATGTAAGGCAGGAGAAGATGTTGGATGTTGTGAGTGTAATGGGAATGTTACGCTTACCCAATTCTTTCCCCGCATTAACAATCTCCAGTATTCATCTCTTCTATCACTATGAGTGAACGCCAACCCTCCGATCACAAGACCTCATACATTTTTGTTTTTATTTTTTGTTGTTTTTGGGTTTTTTTTCGAAATGCAGCATGATGACTGCAAATTGTACTGCTTTCTGAACTCTCAGCGTCCAGATTCCTTTTTTACGGTGGGAGTGTCATTCTTCAAACTTCTGTTCTAGAAGGTCACGTGCAGATGCGCGTACTCGAAGCAATTGCCAGTTGGTTTATTTAACCCAAACTCGTGGCCATGGGATGACACGCACGTACAGTACACAACCAACGTGCGTATCCAGCAATAAATTTTCTCATCGCTTTTGTTTTGAGAGAGGCCACTTCCTTGTTACGTAAGTTTATTTTTAAAATGACAAGTACCGTTTCCTATCCTGCAAACCTATTACCTCATCTGATACTTGTGACGCATATTTGATTAAAATCTTCAGTACATGCAATCCAAATTTCGTTTACCATGGTCCAGGGGGCAGCCAAGAACAAAATTTCTCTGCCATATATTCGCTTTCGATGTGATATTTCTCTGCGGTCTCTCTCTCGCTCTCTTAGTTTTGTTTCCTATTCATGGCATCAGCTCGACTTTGTGTTCTGTCCCCACTTGCTGCAATGAACGTAAATTGCTTGTCAAATTCCGAGTTTTTCTATATATTGACGGAGATATTTGCCGCTTTAACTGCTTTGGCTTTTCGTAGTCAATATTTCCTTCATGTGTGCTTTGCTTCGCTTTCCTACTTCCCATGGAATACTGAAGTACGAGGTTGGTTTTTTTTCCAGATCGGAGACCATGGTTAGGTCCCAAGACAACCAAGGACCTGACATTTGAGCCGCTACATGTGTAGCGCAGTCTCGAAGCATATTCTATGGGAAACCCCTCTCCAGGACCGGCGGTTCAATCGACAATGTCCCTCTCAAAAGGGACGCACCGGCGAACACATTCTGTAGGCGACAAATCGAACAGTATTGGGAAACTTTTTCCTGGCACACCGAGTCCTATAACCTTCGACGAGAAATCGAATCCTGCCTTCCTTGGTGGAAAGAAGATGAGGACACGATCATCATGCGGAAGTAGCGAAGTTTTTACTGAGGACCTGGAGCTTTATGGAGCATCTTTGCTGACAGCTGTGGCAGTAAAAACGCCGCTCAGCTCCACTTCAATCGGAGGTATTTGTTGATTCTTGGTTTTTCATAGAACAGCAGGGCGTACCTAATTGTAAATTCTTGTAACCACTGAACTCCATTTTCAGTGTATGTCACTCTCAGTATTGTGAAGTGCATAGCAATCACAGGTGGTATACTTCTGGAGCTGATGTTGTCTATCCCTGTGCCACTTGTATTCTTCGCATAACGAAACTTTCCAGGTCACAAATGGGTGAAATCTGGTAGCGTGACGCCCGAAGCAGCAGGACCCCCAAAGACTAAGGAAATATGCACGCCATCTAGCAGGTCGGAGTCTAACCAAGCAGTTGGGAGGATTGCAATCTCTTTATTCCGTTCTCCAAGAAAGCTTGAGCGGTCCGTGTCATTGTCAAGGGTGCCTCATAGAATCATGTCTGACGCAGATATAGTTCTACGTTACCGTGACGAGGTAGATGAGTTAGAGCGAGAAGATTTTCGAAGGAGTGTGGACAGCAGGCTTCAAGCATTGGTGGGAAGTGACTGCCACTTCGGTAGAAAATCCTGCTCTGTTCTTCTGGACAAGAAAATGGAAAGTAGTGATTCATATGAAGAATCTTGCGATTCAGTGCCGATTATTCCCGTTGGAAACCCTTCACTTGGTTCAATGGTGTCCTCTGTAGCTTCGAGGCCAGAAGACGAACATTTGTGTGTGGATGCAGCTCACTTCCCAGTCATAACCATTTATCCTGTGGATTTGGAAACAGCCAATCTACTGCATGCTGATCAGGTGACGGTTAGATCGCTTGACATGGAATTTAATCCAAAGGGGGTTTCTCGAATGTCCTCGTTTTCTAATGGTACTTCAACGCATCTGCCTGCCTTGTCCAAATCTGACCTCATGGGACTAGACGCTGCTTGCGATGAGCTATTGCTTTTAGAGCTGCAGAATAGAAGCATGTCAAGCACACTGGTCGAAATCCCGGACCCGATTATCAATCATGTGAAAGATAAAGAGGTAACATTAACACTGACTTCTCTAACAAAAGACTCAGTTGGTACTCAGGGAAATGAAGCTAATCAGAATAACCGGGCTATTTCGTCTTCTAACGAGGGTACTGGAACATTGCTTACCGAGGCAGTGTTCCTATCTAGTCGCTTGGGTGACACTAAGTTCATGTTAGAGAAACCTAAATCAATCGTTACAGATGAGCATCAGAGTAAGGATGTGGAAGAGATCCTACTCAGAAGGGAGAAGGAGGTTACGTTGAGCATTACCTTCAATGATCCTGATTCATGTCGAAGAAAGAGTACTGGCTCTGCCCCTGGACGTAGAGATAAAGCGCGAACTCTAGCTGAAAAAAGAAAAAACCTTCTTAAAAGAAGGCGAAGTGTTTCTGCATCAGACCTTGGTGCTCTTCTCGTCAAGGTTGTATGCTTGACAGAGTCGGAACCTCCGGAGAAAAGAGCTTTCACTGCACCAGAGCCCGAGTTGTCTCGGATTGACTTTTCCCAGAGCATAGACCAACTTCAGCGACTGTCTATATGTCCACGTCAAGGTGCTCAGGCCGAGGTAAGGGTTACTTCTATGGGCGAGGTTCAGCTTCATTCTCCACACCTCGATTTCTACTTACTTTTGCTTCACTTGAGCTTAACAAACTGTTTCACTCCCACTACATCTCCAACCCTGTGGAAAGAATTGCAAATGTAAACGCTCGCTGAAAACTTTCTGGGGTGGTTGGGCAGATCACCGAGAAAAACATCGACACAGAGGCTGTAGACATGGACGTTGAATATGAGGATTGTAGCACCGAGCTGACAGCTTCAGATACAGATTCTTATACCGATAATGTAAATGTGAGAAGTTCCTCCGGTGACAAAGTGGTGAAACAGCCCTCTGAAGAGAAGTTGCAGGTTGTGGGTAAGTCAAAAAATCTCACAGAGTCAATAGTAGCTGACTCCCCAGGTAAAGGCCAGATTGATTATGTATGTATGTTTGCTTCAGTTCTGCGCGGAACAGTCTCATTTTTTATCTCGTAAGATTAGCCACGTGAGTCCATAGCAAAGAGAACAGAGATTGATGAATTTCACTGAAAAAAATGGATTTATAATGTTGACGTTTAATTTGCGCATGTAATGCAGATTGTGGGTCGATTAACTCATACAATGAACATGACAAGCAAGAAGTTACATTAGAGGCGACAGTGATTTGTGATCCTTATTCTGAAAATGAAAATGGTCCTGAGTTAATCACACCAGATAATCTCAAGGAGTTGGAGGTACAGTCGGAAAGGTTTTTGGATGCTAGGGATCTTAGCCTAGACCACACTTCATCGCACCGGACTGAAACAAGTTGCGGCAGTGAACAAGAATGGGATGAGGCTTGCTCAAAAGAGATGGTTAACAACCAGGAAACCTTGACTGAGAATGCTAGTTTGGATGCTCACGGAGTACTCAACGTAGAGAGATTTGGTGACAGCCATAGGATATCAAAATTAAGCAGCCATGGGTCGACCTCGCATGATTTGGACTCGTCCACAGGTAATACCACCAACCAAATGAAAATCTTGAAAATTTGTGGGCTGTGGAAAGGACAATCATGTTGGAAATACTGATCCTAAACATCAGATTTGAATTGCGTAGGATTGCAAGCAATAAGATCAGGTGACACTCTTGAAGTAAAGACTGAAACAGAGCACATCATAAAGCGTCCTCTATTCTTGTTGGACGAGAATGAGAATATGATAACAAGAGAAAGAGCTCAAAGCTTTGCTTCCAAGCTACAAGTCTTGCCTAGACAATCTCTAGACGATTATCGCTCGCCTCCATCTGCCATATCTATCTTAGCCAACCCCTCTTTCTCAAGCTCCCATCAAGACAGGCTTTGGGAGGAGCAAGCAGAAGCTTATTCCAGTGGAGGACACGGCACTCCCAGCCAGGAATACGACGCGCGAGCAATTTCAAATGATTTTGACGTCCACTCCCTTTCACTGGGCGGTACCTGCAACTCAGACGATCAAATCCACTCATGCGCGACATCGCTACGCAAGGATAAAGAGAGAGACTATAGTTCAGGAAGTGCAGCGTCTGGTTTCATGAGCGACAGTGCTCTCATCAGCAACGGCAGAAGACGATTAGGGCTTGGGAAGAGCAAAGTAAGGCCTCGAACGCCACTGCGAGCCTTGATGGCGCAGGAATTGGACAGCAAGGCGGGTTCCACTTCAGGCCATCGACTGCCAGAGAGGGGCCATCATTTCCTACACCACCTCATGTCCCGCATCAGGGGAAGCAGGAACTCATCTAAACTGCCAAGCCTCAGAAGCTCCAACGCGGTGCCTAAGAGACGCAGCACCATCTGGAGCAGCTGCATCTGCTTCTCACGCACCCAAGTTGTGTAACCCACCCCCCCCCCCCCCCCCC